GGTCCATTTATTCAGCATGTCTGAATTAAAGTTTATGAGTGAGCGTCCCGTATGAAGATGCCTTCGTCTGGTTAGTGTGCTTGGTGTCTTCACATGATGTGGCGGGATTGTTTTTCTGCTACAGATGGAATCATTTTGTGATCCTTCGTGTTAATGTGTATTCAAATCGGGGGTGGACTGGCAACAAAAAGCTGCCTGGGAATTTGCCGCTGACTGGCACCCGGGGTATATAAGCTATATATAACGCTGGGGTTGGGGAACAAACACTGGGCCTCACGAGATCGGCCCACTGGGAAAATTCTCGAACTTCCTGCTGGCCAGCCCACGCTTGATTTGAGCCTTTCGTGTTTAATTCTGGTCCAATTTGCTCTTGTCCAAATCCTTGATACTAGAAATTGTTATGAGGTTATGCTAAGTATTTATAGGTGAAAAAAATTACATTAAGTAAAAAGTCATTTCTGTGTCAGTGCTGTACCATCATAAATGTGATGCACTTTGATTCATTTGCATGCATAAACATCTCCTTTAATCTGCATCTGATAAATAAGAAGGAGCGATAAGGACAGAAGCCGGAAAAGGTCTAGTGTAGTCGACACAAAGGCAGATTATTTTCTTAAACTGTGAATTATTTTTAGATCTCACTGCTAAAATCCCACTGTGGTTATTACTGGCTAAATAAAGAAAATCATTGACAGAAAATCTCAGAAAACCTGGATTGCTAATATCAAGATTTATTTTTTATTTTTTAAATAAGGTTTCTAGCGGTTTGCTGATGCATAAAACTGCACCTGAATGGTCACTTTAAATCAGAATGTGAGTTTTATTCGAGCCTAAAATGGCTCAGAGGGCCTCATACATCTTAATATTAATGCATTTTGCCTGATTTGTTTTGAGGAACATGCAGCATTGTCCAAAGCAGTTTAAATATGACGTACTGGGAAGAGGAAGAAAAAGAATCTTCCCCAAAAGTACGTTGCTGTAGGCATCCTCTGCTTCCTCCTCATGTCAACTCACCTCAGCCCACAGTGTCAACTGCTTCTTATAAAACGGGCAGTCGTAAGAAATTATTGAGGAGCCTTGGTTATCAGTTCCTTCTGCAGGGTTTCTGGATCCAGGCTTGTTCTTCGTGCCGTTCAATCAGTCCAACTAATTTCTCTAACTGCTTATGTAATGTTTACAGTGACTTTAGATACAATACCTGGAATTCTGTATGTCATGGTTTTGGGAAACATAGTTAGGTTGTAGGCAATTTAGATTCCATTTCACATACACTGCATGTCATAGACTGTTGAAGGCAACCACAGTGCTGCAGTTTAGGTGCAAACAACTAATACAGATGCTCCTCTACTTACGAACTTTAAACTTACGAACTTTCAGACATACGAAGGAAGAGGACTGTAAGTCCAAATTGTGTTCGTTGGGCTCCCGTTTCCTGTCTGCAACATAAATTTTTTTTTTTCAGTGTGCCAATTCCGCCTAGTATTACTTCTGGCCGCTACTCCTGCCGCGCAGCAGCGTAGTGTGCGTACTCCCAGCATCTCAGTTCTTTGTACTTGCGTATACCCTTAAAATCATGCTGAATAACAACTTATGAACATTTCAAGTTACAAACGCCCGTTTGGAACGTAACTCGTTCGTAAGTAGAGGAGCGTCTGTATATAATATTTTACATTATTACCTCACTGCCCTATGCTGCCTAAGATCCAGGCACCCCCGCAACCCTGACCAGGATTGGCATTATATTACAGCAGGTTCGCATCAATGACAGCAACAAAGTAATTTTCTGTTCAAGGATAACATGGTGTTTTTTGGTAGCGCAGTACCAAAATAAACTCATGCAGTTGCATTGAACCCCTTAGATGTGAAAAGTCTATACCGAATGGAACCAGATCACTGGCCTGACAGATAGATGCTGTTAGGATTTCGAAGAGTGGCTCAGAGGATTTTCAGAGCAGAAACACTACAGGGCAGAAGAACACAAATAGGGAGGAAGAACAGCACGGTATGGCAAAGCAAATGCAAAACTACTGATCCATGCAGTGCGTCTGGGAGTATGACTCATCAGATGTGTTATAGCAGATTCCTCAAGGACTCTGAGTCGCTGCACTGAGATGGGCTTTGACAGAAAGTAGGGAGAGCCCATGTCACATTAGGATGGATGGGTGTGTGCTTGCGTGCATATGGTGGATGTCTGTTGGGTGTTCATTGAGAGCATCTTAAGCTAAGCCTTTCATCCTCAGGGTTGTCATCGCTAGTGTAACCCCCATCTTCCTCATTTTAACTTTCTCACTATCGGTGTCTCATTCCCTCATGTGGTTTTAGCTGTCGCTAAGTAACAGCCTCTCCTCTGAAAGGCAGCGTGTGCCCTGTTTCCATGGCAACATCAGTTGGTAGAGGATAAATGGTGCTGGGTGGTGGTTTGGGGGGTGGGGGTTAGGATAGCGCAATGTATAGGATCAACAGAGGAGTGGGACAGGTCTTATGGTCAATTCAGTAAGACAGACTCACATCTCCCAAGCACTCCTCCACATCTCCCAAGCACTCCTCCACATCCAGCCTCCTTTGTGTGTAGGGTGAACTTGAAAGCAAACCAGCAGTTATGGTATTGCCATAGTGATCATGTCAGCAATAACTGCATGCATAAGGAACTTTTGTGTCTAATGACGTTTCTTGTCATATTTGCGTGCATGCCTTGTTCATGGGTTTGTTGATGTACATTCATTTTGCGTGTGCGTGTGTGTGTGTGTGTGTGTGTGTGTACGTGTGGGTTTGTATTTACCAATTTGTGGGGCCCATATGTCCACACAGCGCAGTAAAACCTGTTACTTTTTAGCTTGTGGAGACATTTTTCAGGTTCCCACAATACAAACCAAAGTTTTATAAAAATGTGTGAATACATTTAAAAAACTTAAATAGCCAAAAATCTTATATTTTGTTTGGCTACTTATGGTTAAGGTTAGGGCTGGGTAAGGGTTAAAGGAGTTATGATTGGGATCAGGGGTTTTCCCACAGAATTGAGAGTCCCCACGATGATATGAATATATGAACTGTGTGTTTGTGTGTGTGTCTGTGAGAGAATTTGTGTGTTTTTGTCCTTTATGGAGACCATGTCGCTGGAATGGTCTCTCCGTGGTGGAGTATGCACAGTATGTGAAGAGGAGTGGTCTGTTATGAAAGGACTCAGTCTGACCCAAAGTGGCTCTCTGTGACTTGCTCTGGAGTCAGTGATTACCCTTTGCTGTAAACCTCGACTCCCTTCCCAGATCTGAGCGCTCAAGTGCCCAAAACATTTTCAGGTTCCTTTGACTCATTTAAAATTCCTCATGTCCTCATGACGAACTAGTTATTTCCTTTTTTAGTAATATATAATTTACAGGATGTTTAGATGTTTACATAATTCCTCTGTACACCATTCTAGATGACACGTGATTACTAAGAGGGCAGTATTGTAAAAGTCATTTACATAAGCGTTGTGATTGTGTTAATATGTTCATAGGGGCATTTGTGCGTGGGCATGTGTGTGGCTGACTGTGTATTCAAGGCGACAGCTTGACCTCTAACCTTTCTTGGTGGTAAAGGGAAAATATTCCTGATTTGTCCTAGTGCTGCCAACACAATACCTTACCAAATGCCCTCAAGCAAACAAAGAGACGATGGCCACTTTCTCGCTTACGTGCGTGAGACCAGTACCGGTACCACATCCTTTAGAATTGTTAAACAGAACTGGGTGCTTTAAAGGCATATACATATACCTTGAAAATTAAAATCCACTCCCTGTGACTGTGTGCGAGTATAAATGTGTGTGTGAGAGTGAGACTCTTCTGATTGGGCGGAGCTGGTTAGGCCTGGCGTGTCTTGGTGCTTGTGTTTGCCAGTTTAATCCCAGGGTCGGCTGTCATCCCCACAGGTAGAGGTGGGTGGCATGAGGGAACTGAGTAACCCACAAAAAGACCACATTGTGCTTCTTCAGAGATGTAGAGGTCCAGAGGCAAATGTTGGAATAAGGGGCAATGTGAGGTGATGGCTTGAGAGAAACTACTTGTGACATATGAACAAATGTCCTTTGTTGACCTGTCATGTGGAATCCCGGTCATGTTCAGTCTTATATCTCTCTGCATGGCCCAGCTCCATTTTATTTAGTCATATCCAAATAGCATTACAGAGATATATTAGAATGCAGGACAACTATCTAGCCATTAGACAAAGAAAAGGCTTGTAATCTCAGCAAGCTACAGTAAGGTAATGAACAGTTCATATTTAGATTTTAAGGTAGGCGCCAGCTGCCTTTAGTATCATTAAAATATTAATATACAGAGGACGAGGAGGCTAAATAGCCCCTTTTGGATATAAGTCTTGCCAGATTAATGTATGGTGCTCACTTGATGTATGGCGCTGTGCTTACTGTGTTGCTCCATTTTAAGCTGACTCCTAACTAATGTCCATCAGTGGCATAAAATCATTGATGATTGTATTCTTTACTTTGTTATTTTAATGCTGAGACATGAGGGTTTAGCTGGTACCATCATCTTAGCTCAGCTTGTCAATAGACGTGTCTTGTAAGGTTCAGCTGGTGGCAATGAGTGATGTGTCACATTGTGGGGGGGACATTGGTCCTGTAACCAATTCTTCTACAGGCAGTTTTTTTTTTGTTTCAGTCAAGCATAAGCAATGCTGTTTGATTGTCCGTGTCGTGTTGCATTAGGTGGACTCTGGGGATTTTAGGATGGGGGCCCAATTTTTAAAAAGAGGAGTGAGGTGTCTTCACAAAAGAACATAAGGGATGGCAACAACACAGCTTTTTGGTATAGAAATGCTGCCCTCTCCTGGAAGTTGACTGGAACTTCACTAAATGTTTTTTTTCAGGCATATTTTATGTAAACGATTTTCACTGTATTCTTCTACTTATTAATTTTTGTTTGTTTATGCTTGTTGTCTGAAGTGTCTGTTCATTTCAGTTGTTCTCATAAATCTGTAATATGTGTGTGCCTTCCTTTGCACAGGCCATGTCAGAATACGGTGACCTTCTCAGCGACTTATCAGATAACATCACCAAAGAGGATCTGGACCAGCTCAAGTCTGCCTGCAAGGAGGACATCCCTGAAGATCAGAGTAACGCCATCACTTCCTCATCGGAGTGGTTCAGCTACCTGGAAAAAAATGACAAGCTTGCACAAGGTAAGGAGGGTGAGGCAGGGAAAACTGTGCCATGTGAGCGATGGATGAAAGAGAGAATGGGATGGAAAAGGAAGCTCTGTTTTGACTGGGTTTCCATGCTGAGTCGTGACAAATCATGCAGGTTCTGCAGGTATTTTTGTGATGACCTGCTGCTTAAAGGACCTGTGACACACATAGAGCCCTCATCCAATTCCTAAGGGCATTTTATTATACATGCAGAGCTCAGATTCAAAGGTGACTTTTACCCATTTCTGAATCAGAATCAAAACACTTTTATTATGCCAGTGGAAATTGCTTGCAGTTACAGACTTCACAGTTCACAGTTACACAAAAACAAAGATAGACAATACCCAGTACCACACACAACATTTTTTATATAAAAATAAATAGTAATAATGGTCTGTGACAATTGTCTGGTGAATATGAAAATACATATAGTAGAACGTGTTACCGAATGATTTCCTGAGGTTTTCATTGGTGCATTTTATACTGAGGAATCTGTGACTGAAAGTGTTCTTCTGTCCAAGCACAACACTGTGGAGCAGGTGAACAGTCCATGATCAACTGAAGTGTGGACAGCATCCTGCTTTCCGTAACATTGTCAACAGTGTCCATTGTCCTAGTTATGTGTTACACTGGAGCACACGCCAGAAGGACCCGTTCTGGAACATACCCCAGCAGCACGTCCATAATTGACCACTTTGCTACCTGTAGATTTTTTTGCGGGTGAGGTAAAACTAAACATATGATCCTCTCCTTGTGTGCACATAGACAACCTGTCATACATTGAGCACATCTTTGAGATCTCCCGGCGTCCCGACCTGCTGACACGTGTAATTGAATACCGAACCACTGTGCTCAAGATCACAGAGGACGATGACATTGACACCAAGCTCACACGCATCCCCTCTGCCAAAAAGTACAAAGGTATGTGCACCACCAGGTCCTGAACAACACGATGATCACATGAATGCATTTATTTCGGTGGGAGATAGCGGCCGGAAACACAAGTACCGCTCATTTCTTAAAAGTCCAGTATTCAGCCCACGGAACATTAATCGATTCACCCAATTCACAATCCGGTTTACTATATTGGGTACATTATTCGATGTTCCTGTGATATTTTTGAATGAATTGAATAAACAAAATTTAATTACTAAAAAAAAGCGACTATTTTCTTTTGCATTCTTTATCAAATGAAATACTCCGTTGGTTGACTTATTAAAAAAAAAAAAAAATTTGTTTCTTTTTCTTAAATGACCAACAATAATTATTTAGAAATATTTTTACTGATTGATGTAAAATATAGTAACCTATCAACTAAAATATTCCTTTTATTTAAAATGAAAAAGTTCATCAGAGATAGGACCATTTATGAAGATTTATGAAGGCTGTAGTCAGCCTTCAATTTGCCCACTTTCTGTGTTCACCATTCCGTAGTGTTACTTCTGTCAGTTTCATTAGTTGCCTACTGATAGGGGGCAGGCCATTTACTGTCTAAACAACGCTATTGCAGCTAAGAAAAGATTAATAATAATTTGAGCTACTTCACAGCTCGTTTTTTTATTTGCACACTTTGAATCATTACTGTTATTTATCATTGCACGCTATGTCGTCACATGCCTATTCGGCCCTAGAATTGGACAACCATTTTTCTTTTCCATCCAGATGTCATTCGCCAGCCCTCGGAGGATGAGATCATCAAGCTGGCCCCTCCCCCTAAGAAAGCCTGAAGTCAAAGATCCTGATTGCTGCATTGCTCCCCTTCATCATAACCCAGCCCCATCTCTCCTCCGTGCCCCTTCCACTCTCGACTATTGCACATCACAGTGGCACTAACAGCTGCCTATCAGCCAGCCAATCAGATTTCAACTATCACCAACTATCATGGACTTAAGAGAAGACTGGAAGGACAGAAGAAGCTAATAGAGGGAAAGCACTTCCATTCTACAGCTGAGTGGGTCACCCCTGTGCCTGTATACTTTGCTATTGCACACTAACACCCCCAGTACAATGCGTGTTTGTCTCTGAACCCAGGATACATTGCCCAAATATTTATACTGCAGATTGCTGAAAAGTAAAAGTAAGTGTGACGCAGTGACATCATATATGCTATGTCGAAGTGTGACGCAGTGACGTCATATATGCTATGTCGAAGTGTGACGCAGTGACGTCATATATGCCATGTCGACTTTCCCTAACAGGCAACACCAGCTGTGAGTTTGAGTGCTTTTGCTTGGCACAAGCTGAATCACTAAAGTTGTTATGCTGTATTTTCATGTGCTAGACAGTTTATTCCTGGTGACAGAATACCTTGGATATTGTGGAAATTTGTTCAAAAACACAGTCACCACAGAACAAAAATCCACTTGACAGAATTCCATTTGTGTCACTGTTATTTGAAGACCAATGTTTGCCTTGTGGACGATTAATATCTTGAATGATAAAAATATATTTTTAGGAGGTCTGTTGTTTTTATTTGAATAACTTTCTGGCTTAAATATTAAATTTTGAACATGTTTTACTTTGAATATCAGCAGTTATGAGAAATAAATCTATTAACCCACATAAATGTAAAATTCACAAGGATTTACAAGTCAGCCATTTTAATCTTTGAAGTGCTCTGTAACCACCAGGTAACTGGCGAAATAGAAAACAAGTTTGTTTTTTCTTTCATCAACTATGTTTTGCATTGCCTGCCCAGTGTGATCAAGATTAAGAACTGTTAATGTACCTGATTGAAATTAAGGTATATCAAAGTACAGATATTCTTTTAAATAGTTATTATATTTTACTATTGTGTATTAAATATGTAGTTATGATTTTGAGAGGTAATGAAACAAAAAGGATGCATTAACTTATTTATTTTTTTCATCATAATAGAGAACAAATTCATATTAAAAGCAGGTTTAAGCCTTTCTAGTGCACAGTCCAGAACAGGATACAGGAAGCTTATTTCTCTTTTTGGTTGAGAACAAAGAGGACTGGGTTTGAGAGAAAGCACTTTGTAAGGGATGAAAGTAAGGAGACGTATGCCGACTCAGACAGAAATAAAGAAACACTGAAATACTGCGTATAAAGATACATTGGATAAAACTACATTGATTACTGTGGTATATCTGTTAGAGATAAAACCATGCAGTAGCGGATTTGAACTAGGAGGTACACGTTTGAACAGTCCTGCCATTGTAAACAAATATGTACCCAGACTGTTGACTAAACTCACACAATACAATCACTGTGTCTGCAGTAATCAACAAAGCCTTAACAGAACTCAGATGCTACAACAAATGTGTGAAAATTGTAAATATGCATGTAGCCTGGGCCCAAAAATATCGCCCTGGTGCTGAAAATCAAGAAACTGACAACTGTTTGAAATTTTTCCCCTTTAAAGTCCAGTTGTTTGTTTTCAGCACTAGAGTGGAAAACGTCAGAATCAAAACAGTCTATGCATTCCGTTGTGGGCTAACAGCAGGATGAGTACCCATGTGTTCGTTCTCCGGCTTCTTTGTTTCTATTGCTGCTGTAGCATTTTGAAAATTTAGAGAGCTGGACATCCGTTGATGACATCACCCTACTTTCCCTGTAAAGAACGGATGGGTGTTCTCCTTTCATTCTCATGTTTCTGCAGGCTAAATGGACATTTAACGTTTGCACTGTCAAAGTACTCTGTGCTGGTTGAATTGTAATTGTAAACCCCGCCTAAAATCAGTCCTGGAGGTTCCCGCTGTCTCAGGCCAGCCAAGTAAGTGACTACAATGGTTGCTCTTTCCTGGTGGAGATCTTAAACCTTACAGTCCACTCTCAAGTGAAATTGTCACTATGGAGATATCTGTGACATAATTAAAATTTGTCATTTTTTTCATGGCTATTTTATTAAAGTTGATTTGAGAAAATAAATCATTTTAAAGGCCAATTCAAAGATGCAGTGGGCTTTAGACAGTTGTTTTTGAGGGGCTTACATGCTTAAAAATGTAAATTGCATTGTTGTGTGTACTCATTCAAAAACGAACCTAGAGATAAGTGTTTTATCAGCATTGTGTGACACTTTTAAGACTTAGCAGATGAAACATACGCAGAAACACTCATAAATCTGTCATTACTAGCCAAGGCTAAAATTTAAAATGTTTGTGGAACAGTTTTAATGCTTAGATAATTAATATATTATGAGATGGTCAACTCAGAATAGCATCAGTTATTAATTTAAATATGCATCACATTGTTAATTTGTATCATTTAAAATCATTTTAAGCTTATTGCAATAGGGGATTATGAGTCATGCAGTTGTTTTTATTAAAATAAATTTGAAGAATTCTATGATATACTTATGACCATTTTTAAAAATTTTATTTAGTTGTACATACTGTATTATTATTCTATGTTTATTGATTAATTTATTTAATTCAGGTATGTTAAAATGCTGTACTTTTTAAAGGGTTAAAATGTTTACCAACTGCATATACGGGCACAAAAATATGTGGGAACTTATGTCAAAAGAAAACTGTAAGAATTAGTAACAATGGTCAGAAAATGCTAAGGTGAAACTGCAGTCATGTAGCTCTTTTTACCTTTATGAGAAGTGTTTTCTGGAAAGTGGCTTTCAAGATTTGTTGCAATATTTGTAGTTGGATCTGTTCTTGATCTGTCTGGAAATGCCCTGACTTTGTAATACTGTTGCTTTTAATTTGTGACTGTGACTTTTGAAAATGAAAGCATTTCTGTACTGTTATGAAAAACAACGCAACAAACTTTAATCTTAACAGAGAAAGTGTCCAAATGGCCAAGTATGTTGTAAACAGAGGTATAAAGTAGGGTTAAAGGAAGTATTTAGATTTTGAAATTAATGAGTCAGAGGGGGATTTGTACCACAGGGTTAAGCCACAGGGAATCAGTCCATTATGTGCATATGTGTCTGTATGGATGCATGTCTGTGGCTGCATGGACTATATTGGTGGAAATGGTGTCCTCGTGGACAGAATTAATAGTTTTAAAAATTCTTAATAATAGCTTGGTTAAATAGCTGGTGCTACATTACAGCTTGGATACAGTGAATAAATGGCATCTTCAACATCCTCAACCTGCAGTCGATGTACCAGCCACACTTAAGGGTATGCCATTAGATTAGATACAACGCTAAATAAGAACATCCTGGAATAGACCTGGCAACCTACCATACAATGGGTTTGGGAAAAAGTCCAGCAACTGATGGTCTTTGAGTTGAAAGTCTGAACTGAAGGAACGGAAAATGTGAAACGCGTTTACATGATGCACTAAAGCAAGCTTTCATGCTATAGAAAAGTGCCAAGTTGCTTTATTTGTAAAACTGTTGATTTCACTTGAATGAGTAGCGCTCATTAGGTCTGTAGATGTTTAAGAAGCAAAAATGATAAGAATAATTTGCAATGCTGTACAACAATAATGTTTTAAGCCACTGTCTGTGATTCAGTTTCATTTTGCTGTGGAGGGTAGTGAAGGTAGTCATGCTTTGGAGTGCAAACACCTGCACGTGGTGATTTGCGGCCCATAACAAGAAACTAATAGGAATCCATGCCGCAGTTTTGTCTTTAACAGCATAATAGCTACATATAATTAAAATATCAGGCATTTACCCTGTAAATTTTATTGTACTGTATTTATGATGGTTTATGTTTGACATAACCATAAAATCTTCAAAGAATATGGACTGTGGGTCCAGCACAATGGTGGGTATTTTCATTAATGTGTCCATCAATCAATGATTTGTGAAGGAGGTTGCCTTAATCACAGAGCCTGTCCGCCTGATTACAGCCTGATTACAACCTGATTAAATTGTTCAATTCACCATACATGAAGTGAGACAACACTTGCTGTTGTAGAGCGTCCCACATTAAGCAATTTCATGTTTTAATTATATGCCTTACCTCTTCAACTACTTAATGCAGATTAGGCTCACCTTGTTTCTCCATTGGTTGTTATGTTTCCTCTTTGTCTTAATTGTTTGTTTTGTGTTCTTTTTTTGAAGTTACAGAAAAAATATGAAAACATCAAAAATATTTTCATTTTTAATAGTTAAAGGTCTGGCTTGACAAAGGATTATATCATACTAGGCTAAAGAAGGCATTTTATTTGTCGAGCTACAATGAATATAAATATTATATATATGTATTAAAATATATTTGCTAACCTATTCCACTTGTGTGATGCTTTTTGTGTAATGGAGTTGATGATCATACCCAAGAATGTTGTATATGGCAGCTGAAGTACATTCGGGGCATTGCAACATGAGGTTCCTTTAGTTGTATATAAACAGCTGAATCCTCTACTGATTATTTTATCTAATTTTATTATCAACAAAAATGAGTCAGTGATGAAAAATGGAAGCGACACAACAAATTTTATCTCACTATTGCAAACAGAGGACACCTGCATCGAAAAGCAAAATTAGCTGTTTATTTAACGTAAACAAAATAGCAACAGATGTCAGAGATGAGGGTAAAGATATCAGTAATGGAATGCAGATGCATGGATGAATGTGTACTATTACGCATGTTTCTGGGTACATTGACTCAAAACAGAAAGAAAACTACAGGAAGATCCAAAAATGTAGCCTCCTAGTGGCAGCCATTACTTTTTTCTTAAAGGGTGCAGGATACCTTAAGCCATACTTATATGATAACAAGACAGATGTACTCTGCATGCACTTCATTGTGTTTCAAATGATCAAGTTCAAGTCGCAGACATGTTCAGAGTCCAAGTCCTGACATAATTATTACAGCACTGTGCTTCAGACGGTTGTGGGTTGTACTCTGAAGTTAAGTTATTAAGATTTATAATTAACAGAGTTGGCCCAGAAAAGCTTGGACTGCTCACGAAAGCTAATTATGTGTTGATATGTACACTTCATGGTTACCTTAAAAAACTGAATTAAATTACTTTAAAATCTCCAAAATTAAATGAACTGAATCAGCAGATCCTGTGTTTCTGAAAATGCACCATGATGAGATAGTAGCTCTGCAAACATCCCCCTGCTGCTTCTGTACACACTGTGTCTACATTATAATGACAAATGCATGATACACTGTATATTCTGTCAAGCTGCCTCAGTTAGTGTGGAAAAGGGCATGTGGGCGGTTGATCATGTCTAGCTTCTGCTCTCCAATTCCTTTAAATTAAATCACAAGTTCACTTGGAAGTTATGCTGTTATTCTGTTAATGTGTCACTTATCAGTTATAACCAGGAGCCCCTGGTTAGTATTACTTTAGCAGTAGCATTTGTTTGAGGTTTAGAGAGACTAATTGATCAGGCTGTTAAAGTGCTGTATGTTGCACCTACTGGGCCTGAGTTGAATTCTTGCCATCACTTCCCTTCTTCATCTGGGAAAGTCGCTGAGTGAATCATTTCATTTTCAAAGCTATAATTTGGAAGTGTCTTGTTTTCCAACAGACAGGCTTGGAAGATGACGCAAGAGTTTCAGATCTGGTTGCATATGTTAATTTCAATGTGTTAAAAGATAATATGCTGCATATGAATCCATGTAGCCTGTTATGAGGAAATGGGGGAATAATTTCTATACTGGTATATATAATGCAACCATGCATTATTTAACACAGGGGATATGTTCTGAGAAATGCAATATCAGGCGATTCTGATGTGTGAATATCATAGAGTGTACATATCCATATTGCATAAAACAGCATACCATTTTACAGTAGTTTTTAAATACTTCTATTAAGCAGAAAGTACAATAATGATAAAGAGTACTGTATAACAGTGAAACAGTGTTGGGAAGGTTGCTTTTGAAATGTAATAGGTTACAGATTGCTAGTTACCGTATTAAAAACGTAATAAGTTATGTAACTATGTTGATCAATTTTTTAACAAATATTTCAAATTGAAAAAAGCTGAAGAGATAAATTTGTCCCACCAGCTTTGCTGACCCATGTTGTCCAGAAATATGCCAAAAGAGGGCATTTCCGCATGGCAAAAAGACACAAAGAAACAAAATGAATGCTATATTGTACACTCAAGCCAAGTCATTTTCAATAATTATTTTTATGTATATTCTCTCTAAAGTATCTTTGCTTTTTAGGGACGACAGATACACTGTATAGGTGCACTATACCGACTAGATATGTATACAGTATATATGATATTCTCATAGCGTCCAATTCACCTAACATCCTATTGGACAGAATGTAACCTGGACTATTCAGCCAGATCTTTCAGTCAGGGGTTAATTTATGGTTAGTTCTTGGCTGACAGTACAGACAAAACTGTTTTTATGTGTAATGTTTTTTTGTTTGTTTATATTCTCTCTGTTCACCATCCTCTAGGTAGGAGTATTGGTGGTGGGATTCACAATATTCACATAGACATTTGTTAGCTAAGAGTTTAGTTTGTTGGTTTGAGTGTGGATTAGGAACTTCATGCTATGTTTAAAATGTTTTTCTTTACAATGGTGTTTATGGTTATACATGTTTAGTAAAATAACCATGAACATCTGTATGTAATATTAGTTTATGCTTTTCATAAACCCAGCAATAGGTTATTGAAAAACACTCATATTACCACTTTAATTCATAAAATTATAGGTGTAATAAAAAAACTGGATTGTTACACCTATTTCCACTTTTATTTGAATACAAATGCAAATCATTTTGTTGCTTCAGCAAATACATATACAAATACAAATGCTGGGCTCTGCAAATCCCTACCATCCATCTCACAAGCAGCCTCTGGTTTCCTCATTGTGAGGAAACCAAGGAATTATTGAGCTGAATGCAAGACAGCTGCCTGCAACATGGTGGAAATAATATTACAGATACAGTATACCAATTAGTCTGATGCAATCGATACTAGTTACATAAGAACATAAGAACATAAGAATGTTGTTACAGATTAGGTTAACTTGTCAGGATTCAGCACCCAGATGCTGGACAGCCAAATCTAGGCTCATTAACCATGGTTGGAAGCCGTTAATTAGGAAAGATGCTCCAAAGCAGGGATCGGAAACCAGAATCATCATTAAGATAAAAAATCTGATTCAAACAAAGTCCTCAACACCTGACAGTCCTTGTTCCCCTTTCTATGCGCATTTTTAATCCTGCCTACAGATGAGTCTGGCATGGATATGGGACCCCAACTTAGCCTTCAGCTACCCTGAACTTTCCCATGGCATTTATATATGTATAGAAATATATGAATCCGAAACAATTTTTTGAGGTTGAATACATTTTTTTCACATTACTGCATTACAACATGTCTCTGCAGATATGATTTTGTCTTCTACAAAAAAGATAAATCTCCTAATAATGTCAGCTCATCACCATATTACATTCACCTTCAAAGCATTAGACATTTTTATAGTTTGATTTCCTCTGTTCCTGTTTTTCTTTATCATTATTTTAATCAGAGCACATTATGATAGAACTTAAGTTGCTGGTTGAGTTCATTTGTTAGTTCTATATAGATAAAATTCAAGCACACTGGAGTGTAAAGCATAGGAGCGAGGAGCTCCTTGTAGATTGGCCAGGAGATGGAGACAGTGCCTAACTTACCTCCTACAGCCAATCATTAAATTAGGCTTGTTTTCCATGCTGGTCAAGTTACAGGCTGAAAATGAAAGTGTAACTCTGATCTCCATCTGGGATAAGTGGCAGTACTTAACAGGTAAGATATATTATTGTCTTTTTGGTTGCTAAGTGTTCTTTTCCAGCTACCCAAACAGTAGGGATGTATTTCACTTACAGCCTTGTAAGTTTTATTATGTAGCGCTTGGCTAGTCACTCAGATTGTGGAAGGTAGGTCAGTATGTTGTTCAGCATGGTGTTTCCACGCAAGTGAGGTTAATTCTGTTTAAGGCACTTCTCAATCTAATGAGAATTAATTGTCTCAACAGTCTCTCTTTGAAACGGAACAACTCTTAATGCATTATATGCTGTATTTATAAACTGTAGTTAGGATGTTTTCAGTGAAACATCTTAAGGCACAGATAATACTTAAATTTTATAGATGAGTAAAGTAGAAAATATTTGAAAGAATATAGTATTCTGAATGAAGAGAATAAATTATGTATGTGAGGTAAACGGCAAAAAAATGTTGGTCTTTATTGCAATTTCAATTCATCATATTACATTACAGAATATTGAGTATTACTTCCAGTAAACTAACAGCTCCCATTTTGAAGTGGGTAGGAAAATGAGCACTGGCTTAATAAGTGATCTGAGGTGGTACTAACTGTAACAGACATGGTGCAGGTTAGAACGATTATTTTGACAAACAATGAAGCAGAATCGCTGTATTTGTGTCTCTGCCTGTACAGTATATACATCTGTCAGGTGTGTTATGGGAACCTTCAGCAGAGGAAGCCTTGTGCTGATGTGTATCACCTTCACCACATCATACAGAGCTAATGCCGGTAAGCAAACTGATTCATCTACACCTTTCTCCTGATAAAGAGGAGTTACAGAAATTTCCATTTATATTTTAGGTGAACGTTGTTATAACTAAAAAAAAAAATTTTTTTTTTACAAATTTGGTCAAATATAATAGAAAAGGCATATATCTGATTTTAGATACCGTTTCGCGAGCTGACTGGTACAACAGTTCACTGGTGACACTAATTATGCATAGTAACTGGCAGGTTTTATCAACAAATGAGAAAGACAGTAAATAAGAAAGTAAATAATAAATCTTTCAGAACTGGGACTGGAGTGTGAAGCTGGGTGGGCAATGTAACCCCTTCATAAAAAGCCGTACCAGTAAAGGCACCCAACTTAATGTTCATATTGCAGGTATAATATACACTCCTGGGCAAAAAATGGGCCATAGCTTAATGTTGTGCAGTTAGGGTTTGGCCCTTTTATTGCCCAGGAATGTAGATGCCATGAAACTTACATTAAAACAGCTTTGTTTTTTCTAAGTATAACCTTGTGACAAATGTGTCAGGTGCATGACAGATAGATGAGAAGCCAGCAAAGTCTGCAGACTAATGTTAAAGGGAAAGAATTGTGAGGCATATTACATTATTGGATAATGTACATTATACAGTACAGTGGCTTGCAAACGTATCTGTAAAGTATCATAATTCTCTGCATGATAAAAGATTTGTACACATATTTGTCCATTCAGTATTTTTATTGTGAGCTCATATGCTCTAACAAAACATTTCCAAAGTGAAATTAAACTCGGAATTTAGTGTTTGCATGTGTTTTCTACCCCGACACGCGATGATTTTTTATCAAGAACCCTTTTGCTGCAATAACGGCCTTATTTCTTTTGAAGTATGCATTTAGCATCTTTGCACATTGTTCAGAAGTGATCCTTCCCATTCTTCTTGGCAGAATTTACTGCTGCCCTCCCGTAGAGGCCTGTTTTATGGAGAGCTCTTGAAATTGTCGACCCATGCACCTTCACTCGGTGCCACTTTACAATAAGGCTACCCGTATAAAGTGTTTATGAATGCTTTATAATCTGGTTAATTAGGTTGTAACACTTCGTAAATTATTAATAGACAATTTTAAACAAGTTATAACACAGTTTTCTTTTATTAATGAGTTACTACCATTTATAAGCAGCAAAAGGGAGCCTTATTGTAAAGTCGTGCTCTTCACTCCAGTTTCCGTCAAAGAACATTACAGACATTGGCGAGTAATGGTTGGATTTTTTGCAGCCTTCTTGTACCAGTTGATATCTTGCTTTGATGCTTAGTTTTGAGGGACGGCCTGTAAGTGTCTGGGTGCTGTGATGAACCATCCGCTATCTAATGATGGATCCAACAGTGTTTAATGGGACATTCAAACTCTTTGAAATTTTTCCTGCCTTGTGCATTTCAATGACTTTTTTGTCTCACATGAATGCTCCTTTGTCTTCAATTTTGCAGTGATTGTCCACAAAAGACAATGGTCCTTCCAAAATAGTGCTTTTTATATCCAGGGAGAAACCTTACATCAGCACTCATAAGTAGAACCTAATTTGTCAGGAACCTGTTTGTCATTAATTTGTCCTTTATGTAAACCTGGACCTTCCAAAGCACCGGGGTTTGTATACTTATGCAAACAACACGTATCACGTATCTTTTAGACAATTGATCTATTGAATACTTTTGCAAGCCACTGTATTATATTGCAACTTGTGCCCTTCTACCTAGAATATGACTGCCTTAATTAAACAAAACTATTTAGAAACTTTTCACTTACCCATGACATTAGCTGTCATACATATTTCTCTAAAATGATTCCCATTCTTCTCTTGTAGAAGACATCAACTCAATTTTGATAGTTCCCTCTACTCCTGTGATCATCACAACTGGCTATGATGTCCTACTGCCCTGCTACCTTTCTCCAGAACGAAGTGTAGTTTCCATGGAAATCAGGTGGTTTCGGGACCAATTCAGTGATTACATATACCTGTACAAACCCGGGATTGACAGTAAGGGCAAAGGGTATGAGGACAGAGTGAGCTTATTTTCTCAGGAACTGGAGAAAGGCAACGTGTCACTGCTGCTTACAGACGTCAGGCTGGCAGACCAAGGTGACTATAAGTGTCATGTCAGCCTTGGTGACTGGTTTGAGGAGCCCACCCTGGAGTTAACAGTCAGACGTGAGTTATTTTTGTCGGGTTTTACTAAGTACATTTTCCCTGCATTAAATATATCGTATAATATGACCATTTTTATCAAGGCACTGTGAGATGTCATTACATGTAGCATTGCAGATTATGATATTTAAGTAGCAACATCCAGTAATATAACATATAAAGCAATGTTACATTTTGTTTAATATATTAATTAATATAATATACATTTTTGATACGACTTTAAACATATTTTTATCCTTTCGCACAGAACCAGGAAGCAAACCAATCATAGAGGTTCTAAAACGCAACAGAGATTCAATCGAACTAAGTTGTAGCTCTGAGAACTGGTATCCAGAACCCAACATGCTTTGGACAGACAGTAATGGGAGGGAGCTGGAGGCCCAGACAGACAAAGCCACACAGAAATCAGTGGGTGGATCCTACAGCATCACCAGTCAAATTAACATCAATGAGTCCTTTGAAGAAGTTGTGAAGTGCATTGTAGGAGAACAGAATCAGAGAATCCATTTTGAGTCTTTAATAAAGCTTAGTGGTGAGTCAATTGTTGAGGTAATGCATATCTCAGTCTTTTCAAGAGTGTGTTATTCTAATCTTCAGTAACTGATAATTCTTATAAGGCAAGAAATAAGAAGAAAAATCTGTGTTCTCAACATACTACTACATAATAAGGAGCACTTAGTAATACATCATTTGCTAGAATTAATTGTATTTAATGAAACTTTTTTGCCTTTCATCTAATAACTATGTGGTAGTTTTCAGATGAAGTCCTCATTTTTCTCCTTGGACAGATGGCTTGTTCATGACCACCATACCAGATCGGGTGTACATCTCTGCTGGTGTCATTCCTGTCACAGTGGGTCTGATATTAGTCCTTGTTGCTGTGTTAATTGTAAACAACCAGAAGAAAGGTACTTTGTATATTTATTTTGCTTCTAATATTGCTTAAAATTGTAGGCTTATTTGCTAACATTACTTATTTGCTACATTAAATTAGGCAAAATTTTTAATACACATATATTTCTCTTGACAGTACGGAAAATCAAGCTTAGCAGATTTGGTAAGAATTTTACTACATTTTAAAATATGAATATACATATATATAATATTATTTTATTTAAGAACCCCCCCCCCCCAAAAAAAAAAAAGATGCTATAATGTATATGACCATTTTGAAATTACTGCAATCCATGTAAGTGTCTGTCTGTATCAGTCAGTTCTAATCATTTATACAATAATATAAAACTGGAAGAAATCTAATAATATAAATATGATTTCCATTACTTACACCAGTTTTAACCTTAATAGCAATATGGGGGCAGTGTGTGGCACAGTGGGCTAAGCCTGTGTGTCTGTAATCACCAGTTCAAACCCAGCCTCAGCGCGACTGCAGGTCCTTGAGCAAGGCCCCTAACCCCCAGCTCCCTGGGGATTGCCATGGGTGCTCTGCAAAGAGCAAGTTGAGGGAGGCATGAAGACAATTTCCCCACAGGAATCAATAAAGTATCTGTTATTATGTATGGAATTTGACATTCAAATTAAGCCTCAAATATTACAAACTCATTCCTTTTTTGGAACTGTGCCCTTTGCACAGAACCAAGAAGCAACCCAATCATAACGGTTCTAAAACGCAACAGAGATTCAATCGAACTAATACAGTATGTAGCTCTGGGCACTGCAACAGAGCTCCAGTAATTAGCTGATTTTTTATGTTTGTTCAGAGGGCCAGTGTCTTGAAGGTGCCAGTGTTTGTGCAGTGGCCAGTGTCTTGAAGGTGCCAGTGTTTGTGCAGTGGCCAGTGTCTTGAAGGTGCCAGTGTTTGTGCAGTGGCCAGGCATAATATATGTCATGTTTGCTGAAGTAATATGCGCATGGTATTCAGAATGGGGTACTGTACATAACAACAGGATTCATAGATGGTTATCTCTGCAATGTATATGTGGTGTTATATATGTCTCCAGCTAGCCATGACCTTGTATAACTCTGGGGTTGGGGAAATCCGTTGAGGGCTAATGAAATTAGGGACATTGCTGAAGACCTGTTTATTAAGGTTTGTCATTTTTTTTTATTCATCTGTATGAAGTTTTTCTTATTCTTTCTGGGGAAACCAGAGATGAATGTGCATTAGCTTTCTGCTCATTATAAAGATACAGTAGCATGATCAAATATCTCAGCTGTGTTACGCAGTCTTGGTTGATGCACCCTTGCATGCCTTACTTACATTGATGAGATATTTTGATGTGGAAGGGAGATGAATCCCTCCAGTTTCCGATCACTTACCCAGTACAAGGATGTGCTGGAACAAATACTGGGGCACAAGGAGGGAACACCCCAGATATAACTCGACTCCATCACAGTACACACACTCACACACTAATGACCAATTAGAGAAGGAGGAAATTAATGCAAACTTGGGAAGAACATGCTAACTCAACAGAGAGAGCTGGAGTTTGACAGGCCACTATAGTACCATGGTGCTGGTAGAAAGATTCATTTGGTTATATTAGTTTATTTAAATTAATTATGCATCTATTTATAATTTACCACTTAAGGCTCCCCATGACCTTGTATTGGATGGATGGATGGATGGATGATTTACAAACTGCTATAAACTGAATTTCTGAAATTCTGTTTTTTGCAGATTCTCTCGAAAGCAGTTTGGAAAAACTAAATGATGGTAAACATTTCAAATTTTTGCAATCAAATCCTAAATGATCAATATAATAAATAATTACTGTATCTGTTTTTGTAGAGCATGATGCCCTCAAAGAGAAGTGTCGTATGTATTAATTCCATTTTTTAAATTTAATATATAGTTTATTTACCAAAATATTGCTTAAATATGCAACAAGATTATATACAGGGATTGACATAACTGGTACAGAAGTACATATTTTTCACATAAGGCTAAAATGCATGGTATTATCTTGTTCAGATTAAATAAGTATGCATTTGTGCTCTTCTGAAAAGAAATTGTTGCATGTATCTGTACAGTATGTCAGAGAGAAGGAACGACTCAATCGCAGGATAAAAGGGATGTTTTTGAACTTAAAATCAGGAACAGAAATGAAGGGACCATAAGGGACCAAACAGGGAAACTGAGCATAACAGAAGGGAAGTCTGGGACTAAAACTGACATGTAGGAGATCTCATGCAGGGAACAGCACAGGTAACAACATAGATGAGGACGGTGACCGGACTGGGGAGCACAAAACAAGCAGGAACTGATATACATGGACTAAATGAGATCAAACAAGTGGCAGGTGTGATTAACAGACTCAAGATGGAGGAACCAGCACAGACAGCATAGGTCCTCTGCTAGCCAAACAGGAATATGACAGACAGATCGTACAGTATTGCTTCATACAAATGAGTACCAGTTACGTAAGTCCCTGCTTATATATGCAGTGGATTGTATCACAACACACCCATGTAAAGCACCTTGGGGTGACTCTGTTGTGAAAGGTGCAATATAAAAATTATTTGAAGTACAAAGAAACTTAAAAAACATACATTTTTGACACATAGTCAAAGGTAGAAATGGGAACTTCTATATGTTTATTCATTGTTATTTTGCATGCAGCAAAATCACTGCATGCTTTTCTGCTATGGATCATCCAGGTCTGTTGTGGTCTGGAGCATCTCTGGAAGGACACATAACAATAAAAAAAAAATCATAGACAAATGCCAGGACATCACAGGGTATTCAGACACACTCACGTTTAGTCAGACTGTCACAAACGAACCCCAACTCATCTCAAATCCATCTTCTTAGGCTGCATATGTTCAAAAGTACATTAAGCAGCATTTATAACTCTATATTTGGTTAATGGTTTATGGTGAAACTGAAAATATTACAGTTGTCTTGTTACAGTGATCATGGATATATAATTTGAAAAAATAAAATATAAAATAATATTTTTGTTATTTTTAATGTGATGTAGCTTTAATCAGTCTCTGTTTTATCACTAAAAAACGCACAAGAAAGAACTGTACCTGCAAACTGTCCTCCACTTTTACTTGGAGTGGCATCTTTAACTTGTCCACAGGGTAAGGCTGTGTGTATGTATGGTCCCTGTTATGGGCTGGCATCCAATCCAAGGTGTTTCCCTTCATTGTGTTGTATCCTGCCTGAGGTTTCAGACTAACACAACAACCCTGTATGGGATAAGTGGTTATGGGAGATGTATGGATAGATAAATGATTAACTAATCAGAGATCCTGATCTTCACAGGAGCTGTCAGCTACATCCCAGACTCAGGTACATCTCTGATGTTATTGTTATACCCTTATGTCTTCATATCCATATATGGATCATACAGTATCTATGATTTTCAAGAATGACAATATGTTTTGTTTGGAATGCTTGGCTTTTAAGAAATAGTTATACAATTTTCTTATTGCCTTGAAAACAATGTTTTTTAAAAATATATATATATGCTTTTGCCTGGAATATTTTTTTATTCATCAATATATTTACACATTTCTACCCTTAACATGTTTAAAAAAGCAGTAACATGAAAATGCTTTTTTCTAGTGTGGAGCTACATCATTAGTTGTGCAGGTAATTTATTAGAATCATATCCACTATGCTTGTATATTTACTGAAATTTCTGTTGAGAAACTATAGATCATAATGACTGTTAAATCATTATTAGAAAGATGCCTCAACAAAGGAGAAACCAATTTCTCATATTTGATTCTTTTTTACACAGTCCTTCATATTTATTTATACAATACAGGATATTTTTATATGGGAAAATGATTTTGGAACACCATAACATATTGTCTTGATCTTGGTTAAATCTAGTTTTACATTTCAGTTTATCGCAGCAATAAACTTCTCATGATAATTTTATTTGCGTTGTATTTTGTGTTCAATTAAAAGTGCATTTTTTTCCATTTATCACTCCATCATACCCTTATTAGCAGTGCCAGCTGCTATGTGGACTGTGTTTGCTGTATATCTATCTAACTCTTCAGGGAGATTCTTGTACGTTTGCTTGTTAATTTAGATGACGTGACTCTGGATGAAAAAACAGCACATCCAAAACTCAGAGTTGCAGAAGATGGTAAATCTGCTGGATGGGTGGAAAAGGATAAAACTGCAGATGGAAAAAACAAGCCAAAGGAACAATCCATTGATATAAACAGCAAACGGTTTGATGATCAACAGTGTGTGCTGGCTAAGGAGGGATTCACGTCTGGGAGACATTACTGGCAGGTGGAATTTGGAAAGCAGGCTAGTTGGCAGGTTGGAGTTGGTAAGGAGACCAAGGACAAACAGGAAATACTTACTTCTGTAAAGGGGTACTGGATCTTAAATTCATCATCAGACACATCGCTTTCTGCAAGCACTGCTCCACCCACAATCCTCCCTACTGATCTGAAACCAGAGAGAGTGGGGGTGTATTTGGACTACGAGGAAGGTCAAATTTCATTTTACAATGTGGACCATAGATGTCATATATACACATTCAAAGATGAGTTTACAGTAAAGCTCTTTCCATTGTTTGGAACAAAAAAAGGATGTTTTAAAATATTTACAGTCTTGGGTGTGAAAAACAAACAAAGTGACATTGCCGAAGATGCTACAGTATCTTCACTGATACACTGAATAACCTGTGTTGAACAAACAGCAAACGGCTTATAGATTGATATGCTCATTTACATCATGCTATAAATGTCTGTTTATACTGTAAATAAATACTTACTGTATCAAATATGTTTGACTACAGCTATGAACTCTTTTGTTAGTTTAAGACGTTACTGGTGTATTGTTTTTGCAATGAATGATTGTTAATTGGAAGAGTTGAGTATACTGATTGTAAGACATTCAGAATAAAATGCTAATGAAAATCCACCAGGCCTGGTTACTCAAATCACAGACTGGTGTCCACCCAGTCTGTCCCCTGCTTTGTGCCCATTGCTATCTGGGATAGACTTGAGACTTAATGCCACCCATTACGGGAAATATGATTAGAGTTGAAGAATAAATTAGATGGTTGCATAACAAATTATATATCCATAACGTATTTCTCACCATTAAGAGGTCTTATGGCCAATAGGAATTATTTCTGTTTCCATTTTATTTTAATTACGTTTTAGTACTCATGATGAACTGTGTGGACCTCATTTGTCTTCCTGTTTCTCAAAATTATACTTCTAATTTTTGTCAGTGGATATATAATCGATATCTATATCCATATCTCAAGTTGGACTCTAGCAGTCGATACATGTTTTGGACAATCGAGCAAAATTAGTGTATTTACCGTGCTACCAAGGTGAACCAATAGAGCAGGAGAATTGTGTTTGTTATACGTCTGAGCTTAGTTTGTTGGTGTTTCGTGACCAATCAGGTCTTAGAAGTCCTTATCTGGAACTTAGAATTATGGTTTATCAACTGGTTGCTCTCGGTGCTGGAGTACTTGGTACCTGGTACCAAGGTTATGGAATTGCCACCATGCCACCATGACAGGCACCAACAACCTTCCAGCCACAGTTCTGCACGGCTGCCTCAGCGATGGACGCATTCAGGCTCAGTGTTTCCATCCTAGGATGCATGAGATGTTTTGCTGGAGGTGTGACTTTAGGTCCTGCTAAAGACTCCCAGCACACCTATGTTCACCTATGTTTGTTATGGACAAACTGTGGTTAGCATAGAAGTCCAATAACAAACATCACTCGGGTTCAGATAGGACAGACTGTTCCTCCAAATCATACCCTTCCAGGTTTCACGGTCATGACCCACATGAACATTAAAGTCCCACAGTAAATCAATGGAGTCTCCAGAGGGGGTGCCTTCCAGTTTCCCAACCAAGGTATTCAAGAAGGCTGCATACTCTGTACTGGTGTTCAATGCAGACAACAATCAGAGCCCATTCCCCGACTCAAAGTCAAAGGGAGGTGACCCTATCATTCATTGTGGTAAACTCCAATACACTGGCACCATACAGAGGGACTATGAGTAGACCAACACCTGCCCAGCACCTCTCAGTATGGGCAACTCCAGAGTGGAACAGAATCCAGCCCCTCTTCAGGAGGTTGGTTCCAGAGCTTGAGCCGTGCATTGAGGTGAACCTAACTGTATCTAGTCAGTATCTCACTACCTCTTGCGCCAGCTCAGGCTCCTTTCCCACCAGAAAGGTTACTTTCTGTGTTCCTAAAGCAAGATTTGGTAGCCAACAATTGGTCTGCCAAAGTCCCTGCCTTCAACTACCATCCGATCTATCTTGCACCTGACCCCCACGGTCACCCCTGCAGGTGGTGGGCCCACAGGAGGGGGGATACATGTATTTGCTTCTGGCTATGCCTGGCCAGACCCCATCACTAGAGACCCGGTCACCAGGCACATGCCAGTGAGCTCTCCCCCAGGCCTCGCGCCAGGATGGGGCCCTGGTCTCCCTAATCCGGATGGGGCCAAATGATCCTTTCTGTTGACGCAGCTATGTGCTTTTTTTACTTAAGTACATGGGAGAATTGACACCTAAATGCAGATCCATATCCATGTTAGTACATGAAATCAGTCCTGTTTGCATGCTTTGCTGCTGAGGTGGGAAACTTCCATTTAGTGTTGCAAAGCTTTCTGGTTATATAAAATAGAATTACCACCTCCCCATAGAAAAATGTTGGTGCCAAGTACTTTCATCCTTAAGTATAACAGAGCCAACACAAAGTCTTAATCTTATCAACTACTCTCTCTCTCCAGTGTTGCTGTAATTTATTGGGAAACCACAATGTTCCCAAACTGCCAATTATGGCTGAGTGTAACCAGTCAAGCTCCCAGCCACGACATTAGCACAATGTTTTCTGAGTCTACTTGTGAATTTAGGTTCCACCAGTGTCAATAAATGTATCCATTCATTTCATTGTGCCTACTGAACTGAAAAGCATGTTCTGAATGGTACATAACAAATACGTGTACAGGTACCATTACAGCCTATGAGGACCCCGTTGTTGCTGTCTGCCTGCATGGTTTTGATTGCCACCTGCTGGTGTGTGGTAAAATCGCAGTGGGTTGTCACATGCCAATACATTTGTACAGTTACCAGACTTTTTGATGAGAATTACTTGCTTTGTGTGAGCACTCAGACATGGACTCAAGCAATGCCAGAAATAATTAACAAACAATAAACATAAAACAGTAATGATTTACAAAGGAGGGCAAAGTCAACATCATATACCATTTTCAATCTTTTTTAGGTCAAAGATTAATCCAAAGGAAAGAGAAAACTTGAGTCTAGGAAAATACAAACACAGCAAATAAAACTTTCCTCTGGCAATATATAAACTTACACTGACTGAAATTTAAAAAAAGAAAAAGAATCAAATAAATGTGTATTCTGTATGGCAGCACGACCATCTCTGCCAACTCTGCCAGTCTCATTCTGGCATATTCCCATTTCAATGTACAGCCTGTCTATCGGAACGAAACCCAGTCCTGTGTCGGGGACAATCTGCACAAGTTTTATACTCCTCTCTGACAACAGTTCTTTGTCAGTTTAATCTCTAAATAGGTAAGATTTTCTTTGCACCATTTCTTGTTTTTAACGGTCTATACTGTAACTGGTCATTTGATAGCAAAAGTGGGGCATTTAAGAGATTTTCTCTGATTGCCCCCCTCATCAATGTGTACAAATTCACCGTACTTACCCCCAAGTACATTCACTATGGTTTAGGATTGTGAGGACACATTACTTACTGTAACTTGCATGCTACTCATTTTAATTAAAATAATTATTTTTTAATCGACCAGTCTTTCAGCCTGCTTGATTAGCCTGCTAGGCATGTTGACGGAGTAGATGTCACTGCATAATGGTAATATACTTTATATAGTTGTATATTTTTATATACTATTGCATTATGCAATTTTTACATAATTATTTGAATTATTCATATCAGTTTTGAATTGTAACATTTGTTTCTAAATGTATGATACGTTAGAAAGTTTCATTTTGTTACATGGTTAAACCTGATGAGTGTTTTTACTGTACTGTCACCAAACAAGGCATATTGTAGCAAACTGTCCCGTATTACAGCAGAAAGAGGGAAAAAGGCTTAATCCAGAAAAGAAAGCTGTTGCATTAGATCTGATTTATCCCCTGATAATGCGAATGACCAAGCACAGCCAGAGAGCAGCTATTCACCGTACATGTTAAATGGGAACGTGTCACCCGTGTTTCTCCTGTGACGATATTGCGAGATACAGGAGCAGCACAATCATTTATTCTCAGGGGACTGATTCCTTTGTCAGATGCTACTTTTTGTGGCACATATGTCTTGTGTTGAAGAATCGATATGTGGTTTTTAAAGGTCCCATTACACTATGTACATTTGACAGTTGATTACAGGTATATTTAAAATGGGGTTGTGTGATGCTTTGCCTGTTGCAGAAGTGTCTTTTATTTTGGGAAATGATATTGCTGGGGGCCAAGGTAATGCCTGTGTGGGAAGTTAGTTACCTCCTGTGCCAGACAGTCTTCTGATGGATTTTCCTGCTGTCTTTCCTGTCTGTGTAACAACCCATGCTCACGGCTAGCAAAACAGTTAGCTGATGAGATCAATTTGTCTGACACTTTTCTTAGAGAAAACCTTACTGGGTTGTCATGTACTGGTGGTAACAACGTGGGGGTGGCACAACCGCTCACTTTACTTCCTGTTATTGTAAATCGTGAAAAGCTTATTAATGCTCAGAAAGCAGATCCATCTTTGGCTCACTACTTTTCTTAGGTACGTGATGCGAGGGTTGCTGATGAGCAGGTCACATACTACCTCAAACATGGAGTATTGATGCGTAAGTGGTTTTCTCAGGGTGTTAAACTGAATGGGCTACATGAAATTGCACTGCCCTCAGCCTATTGTCAACAAGTGTAGTCGTTAGCTCATGACCACCCTTGGTTCGGACACAGGAGTTACAAAGACCTACAACCGTATTCTTGGATATTTTTTTTGGCCTGTTCTTAAAAGAGATGTAGTGCAATACTGTTATTCTTGTCTAACATGTGAGATTGTGGGGGAACCTAATCAAACTATACCTTGGGCTCCTTTATTTCCTATCCCTGTGAAGGGTGAACCTTTTGAGTGTGTCCTTTTGGATTGTGTTGCTCTGCTTCCATGAACAAAGGCAGGTGACCAGTTTTTTGCTTACTGTCATGTATGCTGCTACACGTTCTCCTGAGGCTATACCTCTGCATAAGATCACAGTAGCAGTGGTGCTGAAAGCCCTAACCAAGTTTTTTGCTGCTTTTGGCCTACCCCGAGTCATTCAAACCGACCAAGGCGCAAATTTTTTTTTGGCAAGTTAGGCATGTAGTGTCTCGCCCACGTCATCCATGTCGCAGGGTGCGCTTTAATGATGTCATCAGTCTCTGAAATCTATGCTCCACAAATATTGCCTAGAAACAGAACATGACTGGGATGAGGGAGTGCCGATAGTTTTATCTGCTACAAGGGAAACAGTGCAGGAATCTTATGGACCATTAAAGTTAGCAGACAATGTTTTGGGCGGAAGCTTGTGAAGCTCCTGTCTTTGCCTTTCTTTAAGCTACTATTGACTTTTATTTATCAAACCTATAAACATGTGGAAAGGGACTGGGTAGGTAGGAGGTGCACACCTACACATCCACGTAGGGCTGTTGATGTTAATCACACTAGGAAGGCGGGCGGGGGGGGGGCAACCCTTTATGTTATGTTTGGGTAGGAGGTAAGTAGCTCTTTTTAATTACTTTATTTTTTGGTAGTAAAGATTGGGTTTTTGAGATCAGTTTTGTTTGTTTCTTTTCTTTTCTTTGGCCCCGCCCTTGTCCCTTATTCCCTTTAGCCTTCCCAGAAGACTTGAAGCAGTTATAGCTGCAAAAGGTGGGCCAACTCCATATTACAGCCTATGTATTAAGAATGGGATGTCATTGAAGTTCATGTGTGTGTAAAGGCAGGTGTCCCAATACGTTTGGCAACGTGTGAGGAACACAGGTGCACCTAGGGACAAAAGTACAAAAGAACTAATTCTGAGACACAGGAACATACTAAATATGGGGAAACTGCTAAGTAAATATCATTGAGGCTGGCCGGACCCACAACGGTAGGGTAGTAGGCATACCTAGTGGTTTGCTCAGGCCATTCAGCCACAGCTGGGGGAACAGGGGAAACATTAGGGGTATTGAAAGTTGCAAAATACAGGAAAAGGACCGGGATAGCCAGTGGCATCTGCTGGTCAAATGGGGAAGCAGACAGAACAGGGACTGGCAGGGAGAGATCCTGATAATTACAGTGTGCTTAATTACACACTACTGTCAGCAATGGCTATAAACTATTTAACTAATTCCTTTATTAAAGGAATTAAAGGGGCTTCTGCATATTTTTGTGGATGTGTTTTTTCCACATTCAGTTCTGTAATCAATGCTGTATTTTCTTTCTAGGGTCAACAGTGGAAGAGAACAATCTTAAAAATGGAGTGCTGGGAAATGTATATAGGCCTATGGCCTGTATTACACAGTTTCTTTTTCTGCTTATTGACCTATTTTATTTCTGTCACCCTAAGAGAGGGTAAGAAACTTTGTATACTTGATATATACTGTACATTGCTAACAATAGTATTGTAATTAATATGCTACTTACTTAAGAATAAATTATGATAGTTTCAGTCAATACAACTGTGCTAATGAAATTAAACATTCACAAATTCACATTCGTCCCTGCAGGCCTCCTCTTCTGGCTTCTGGTTTTGGGAGCAGTTTGTGCTGCAGTCATATTGCTGTTTGACATCTTTTATTTTTATGACAAGTTCTGGAAAAGGGCAACTCCAGAATTTCCAGGTAAATTATTTATTTAAAGACAATGAATCTGTGTTTTTAACTAGGAAAGGAAATTTTGAGAGCATTTTAGCCAATTCATCTGATTTGACATTAACTATTTTCTTCCTTAAATATGATGTGTAATACACCTTCAATACAATAATTTGATGTTTAATGTAATTTTATTACACTGTTGATGTATCGTTCTTTGAATTTAATGTTTTCTCATTATGGCTGCTGTAACATCCTGCTGCAATAAAAACAGTATTAAATACTTAAAATAGTGCGTTATCTTAAAATGAAATGGCTAAATTGGAGTCCTTTCAATTATATATATGAAATATATTTTAGACAATGGCTTATGATAGTAGTGACATGTTTTTGAATTATCTGTTTTTGTTATTGTACAGTAGATGATGTTAAGGGTGCACATGTTTCTGTAAGTTGTTCGTAATATCTGTATAAAAAGTACTCCAGCACATTTTACACATATTAACTGATAAACAGAAAATATGTATAAGTATATGTGTGTATAGCTGTTTTGTTGTTAACACAGGAGGAGAATCAAGACCAAATCAGGTGCCCCAGGAAAGATGTAAGATACAAAATTCCAGTCATATTTATGCAACATTCTAGACACAAATTAACTGCATGGATGTAAACAGTTATATACATTTTCTGTTCTTTTTTGTTTGCCCTTGTAGATAAGAATTGCCAAGTTGAAGGTGAGGAAATTAACACAATTGCAATTTTTATGTTGGAAAACCATTCTTAGCATTTCAGCCATGAGCCACCAAATTTTTAGTTTTAATTTTCTCAAAATGTAATAATTTTTATTTTGAAATTGTTTTAATATTTAGCTTATGTTCAACTGTTACATTCAACTAATTCAACCTTATTCCACATTCTTCAACATTATTAATTAATTATTAATCAGAAGGTCGCTGGTTCATACCTAGACTCAGCATGTGTGCAGGTCCATGAGCAAGGCCCATAACCCCAGCTCCCTGGGCATTGCTATGGGTGGCACTGAAAAAAATGGCCTGTGAAATTTATGATAAATTGTTCTGTTTTGAGGCAAGATCGCCGAAATCTTGCAAAATTATCTGCCGGTGTGGGAAGATACCTACAGAAGATGATGCTTCAACTTACACAATAAGCCTGAGAAATGTGGGAAAAAAAAACATTTCAACATATCAACAAATATCAACAAATCAATATTAAAGTTAACAGCTTTGTAACCCCTGCAAAAATGTACTGAGATTTAAATATCAATATAAAGGATTGTTAAAGTGTCTGTTTTTACCTCTTTACAGAAAAGGGTTGTCTGGTTGATGGTAAGTGAATAAATTAGTAATGAATATGACTACCTTACATTACAGAAAACATCTCTTGAGAATTTCACTACTGCTATATAATCAATGCCATCTGCATTTCAGGCTCTCTGTGGAATGAATGGCATGAAGGTCAGTGATTATTTTAGCATTTGTGTGAGAATTACAAGGAATGTATGAGGGTCTGGGAAACAAATATCAATATGAAGGATTGTTAAAATGTCTGTTTTTACCTCATTGCAGAAAAGAGCTGTCAAACTGATGGTAAGTGAATAAATTAGCAATCAATATGAAAACCTTACATTAGTGATACTTTCAGTATTTATGGACCAAATGGAATACACCAAATGAAATATATGTTTTTCGTACATCAAATTGCTAAGTAAGTTGATTTGATTTGGTTTTATCTGATGCTTATCAATGTTTTTTTTGCAATGTTTTAATGCTTAAACAAGGAAGAGTTCAAAATATTTTTTTTTATGAATTTACTGCTTTTACTGTGATATGTACATTATAGAAGCAAACTGTCATATCAACATGGTAGTGTTCAATTTCATAAACATGCTTTGAGAATTTCACTACTGATACATAATGAATGCTCTCTGCATTCCAGACTTTCTTTGGAAACAACGGCATGAGGGTAACTGATTACTTTAATATTTATATTAAATATAAATGTAATATCTAAAATATAAATGTAATATTAATATTAGAAATGTAATTCGAAATTAATATTTATATTAGAATTACATGAGGTACAGTACATCAAACAGTTTATACATTCATTTTTAACACCATTTCTAGAAAGCAAATTCACTCTCAAATTCACATTTCTCATTTACTAGTTAGCCCTTCATTTGAACATTTTAGGTTTTATTTTTCTCTAACGGGTCATTTGTAATTTATTTGTTATACAGTATTAATATTTAGTTCATGAACTGTTTTTTCTGTAGTAAAGGTCTATATAAAATGGACATATCAGCATAGTGATTTATAGGATCAGCCACTGGGAAAAGACTACATCCTCACTTGTATTCTGGTGCTTAGTTAAATTTGTCACAGATATTTTGTATCTCTTCCACTCATCATTACTGTTACAAAATTGTATTTGTTTTATCTCTTGACATTTGTGTTTGTGCTCTGTACAGTGGATGTAACCCTGGATAGAGACACAGCTCATCACAAGCTGAAGATATCGGATGATGCTAAAGAAGTCCAGTGGATAGAAGAGGGAATACAGTGTGTGTCTAAGGAGACCAACCACTTTGATACTGAGCCATTTGTACTAGGAAATATCATGCGTTGCTGGAGAAGCTACTGGTGCGTTGATGTGGAGGGAAAGGAGTATTGGGTCTTGGGTGTAGCTGCAGATACATCCAGCAGGAAAGGCCAACTGGAACTGAGCCCCAGTAATGGATTTTGGGTAATCAGGGTGTCAAATGGCAGGAGTGTGAAGGTCATGACTGAGGAGGTAGAGGTCCGGACAGATATACCCATCCCAACAAAAGTGGGAATTTACCTTGACTATGAAGAGAAGGAGGTGTCCTTCTACAATGCGGTAGATGGTTTGTGTATTTACACTTTCAAAATTGGGCAAGGCTCTGACAGAACTGCCCGTCCCCTATTCTCTCCTTGGAGCAATGATTCAGACAAGATTTCAGTGCTGTCTATCAAATAATAAGAAAATTGAGAAATTACCCATAAATGTTGCAAGATCAGGAATTACATAGACCGTCCTAAGAAATATATAGACATGAATATATATTGTGAATTGAGTAAGAAACAGGTAGGGATGTGGCTGGAATACTGCTGGCAGTGATCTGTATTCCTAATGTTTTAATGTCCACTATCCTCTATGCAGTACACTCCAGCAAGGACACGGCATTGATCGTCATCGTTGCTCTTTAGATAAACAGATTATTCAGCCTTGTTTCCTTCTACAATTAAATTTTTTCTCCTGTGTAGCAGATTTACCAGCTACAGCTACTCTGAGTTTGGGATATGCTATTTATTTCATCCAGAGTCACATCACGTAAAGTAAGAAACAAACGAATAAGTACCTCCCTGTCCTGTCCAAATATCATAGAACAAATAGGGTGCTTTTTGACAGCTGGCACGGCTAAATATGTTTTGGTGCAGTGATAAGTGGATTGAAAACATGATGCAATAGCAATAAATTTAGCCGAATCATATTCTGATATATGTATTGTATGAATAAATATCAAGGTCATTGTAATAAAAATGTAATTGTTTTGTATTGTCAATTTTTTGACTCCACAACTGATAAACTACCCCAGATTTTTCACAAGGAAGGTGTATGATGTGAGACTTAAACCTCTGGAGTCTGAGGCCGGTCAGCCACTTTTAGCTAGCCTGACATGCCTTGATATTTTTATAGATTTTATGTAGGCTATACAGAAAACATATATCCCAAAGTACTACATGTGTTTTTATTCAGCACAGACTCAGCACCAACAATCTGAGACCATTTAGATTGTCCTTATTATTATTCTTATTGTTGATACTCACATTCTCTAAAACTCTAAATATTTTGTGTATAATGAAAAAAATGAATCATAATGGATAGAAAACACCTTAAGACTTTTCATGGAAAGACAAAAAAGAAACTGTGACAGTTTAGAGGTATACAAGTGAAACTAGGAAGGAAAGAAAGAAAGAAAGAAAGAAAGAAAGAAATGAGCTTTTTAGTTTGCAGCAATTTACCCATTCTTTAGTTTAATAAGTTTGTGGTTTATTTGTTCTGAAGTTTACCTCTGCAGCTTTTGAGTGAGCTCGGCATGTGCTCTTCAAACCAATAAAATTCATTTTCATCCTTGCTCACTCACAATGTTGCACGTTTGTGAAAAATTTAACAAAAATAAACAAAGCTAACAAGAACTAATTACTAGAAGACATTCCTGTTTTGTTGTATCGAAACATTGCGGATCCCATATAGAGAATATTGAGCAAAAGCAAGTTAAATGCCTGTATTCTGGGAAATTCAGTTCCCCCATGTTCCCCTGTCGTACACTGATTTGAATCATGATGTCACCAACTACTTAATACTTTGACGTAGTGATGGGACGTTAGATACCAAAGCTCCGAGGCTGGAGTCACTCTAGCAAAACACAGTGGGTGTTTATCAATATCAAGAATGCAAAGAACGTACTTGTGTTCTTGGCAAGAACGATTTTACTAACTTGCCTCCCAAGAACAAACTTGAAATGCAATGAATCATGGGATTGTTCTTGTTGGCATGGATACAACTGATGCACCCTTGGTATTTGGGGCAGGGCAAGAATGACATCCAGGGATTTTACCATCTTTTGTGTTTCTGCTCTTGATTATTGGAACTGGACTTCAGCAATGGAACATGACAAACTGGCATGTTCGAGTACACACATTGATAAACACCTAGTGTGAGGAGCTTGTACCAAATGAAAGTGATCATGCGACTATGATGTCACATTATTATGTCACAAGCTTCGATTGGTGTAATGTCACAATACTTTTGACACCCCATATCCCATATGAAAGCGTTGATGGGAACTAACATGTATAAACAGTTTGCGTTTGTTCTGGTACACACTTACATTATTAACATTAACATGCATATCATACAGCACACAATATATACATTGCAGAACACACACACAAACAAACAAACAGGATTAAAAATATTTATTTTAACATGTGATTAGCTCAGACATTCCTTATGGCACACACAGCACAGCAAAGCATGCATAGTATTTAGGGCCTGTAGTAATTTTGGCTGGCCACCAGATGTCACTGTCCAAAGACTTTCGGTGCCTCAAACGCTTCAAGCCATTTTTTACACGAGCAAAAGAAAGCCCAAAGCTTCGCGAGGCATCCTCTATGCCACCGACCAGACTTTCTGACCGACCAGATTCTCTGCTGGTCTTTCTATGAACATATTAAGTAAAACAAATCATGTAGGCAAAAATATCGGATTTATTAAATATAACTGAATTGTTTATCGCCAGTAGCATCTCAACAGATTCTATTGGCTGTTAAAATCAAAGGGTGATCGTATTTTTACTGTAGCATCGCCAAGGCTTTGGAACATATTAGGACTGCCTCTTCCGTTTCTGATTTTAAGTTTAAACTAAATTGTTTAACTTTGAGGAAGTTTAAAAAGTATTCATGTGCGGATTGTCTGTTTGTAAATTTCATTATCTTTATTTTTTATCATCTATTTACTAGATACAGCACTTCGGTCAACTAAGGTTGTCTTTAAAGTGCTTTATAAATAAAGTTGACTTACTGGGTTGGGCGGATACCAGGATAAGGCTACCTGGCTGGCTGCACTGTGCCAGCTGTAAAGTTTGGTGGAGGACATTGTAATGAGATATTAGTTTAGCATTTTGGGTTCATGGCAACTGTTGCATACCACTTGGTTTTCCAGATTTCTTTACAGCTGAATTTTAATTGATCTGAATGATATAGTGTCAGGGTCAGCACCCTTCTGTCCCAGCCTTTCGTGTCTCCTCCCTGTTTGGCCAGCAGGTGTCGCTGTTTTTCTGAGGTAGGGCTAGGCCCTTTAGCTGGGCACATACAGTAAGCTAAGAAAACACTAAAGTTGGTTGCAGGACTTTGCATGTAGTATGTGTGATTATTTATGCAATATTAATTATAAGGGACCAACACACCAGGACATGCAGGTGCAGACAACCAAGAAACACAGGACAGGGGAATGAACCAAGGCCAGAACATCCAACAGGGACTAGTCAGACACAAGAGAGGGCCATGGACAACACAAAGACCAACCCAAGACCAGACCAAGGACGATAGGGGAAAGCAATGGACTGGACAGAGTGAACTAGACCAGACTGGACACTAACGGGGGTCAGGAAGTGCACACAAGCAGGGCTAGGGACAAACATGGGAGACGCAAGGCGGGACAGACCACCAGGACAGGAACAGAGACACAAACATGGTGTACAGGGGAGACAAAACAGGGCAAGGGAGCCAAAAGGCAACAGGGGATTCAGACTAAAGGGCACAGGAGGAAGACAGCTGGGCAAAAATGGGGAAGGCAAGAATGGGATCTGGGTTTCATAGGGGACTTGTTTAGGCCCCGGAAAGTGGGCTTGAACCCAGGGACACAAGCACCCCCAGGCTGTGGGAGGCCAGCAGGACCAGGTGGAACCAAGGGGATGGTGGGGCTGGAGCTGAGAGGTGCTGTAGGACAGGGAAAGGGGGGCCCCATCTGGGCTGCAGGGCAGGGACCTGAGGCTGAAGGGGAACCTGAAGGACAATAGGGAAGGGGTCAGGAACAAGAACTGCGGCCCCAGGGGCCTGCTGGGCAGGAGGGCCCAGAGGTGCCAGCACGGCAGCCACAAAGGGTGTGCCCCCATCTCCCTTTCTGGGAGACCGAGACCTGGCTGGCCCCTCTCTTGGATCCCTGTCGGTATCAGAGGCCACCTCGAGACAGGGGTGGTTCAGGTTCAGGATTCATGAAATGGGACTGAGGGCCAGACCAGAGGGGTCCCATTCCAGGTCCTCTAAAGAGGACTCCTCTGGGTTCACCCTCACCGAGAAGGCCAGCGTGCGGTCAGGCTTGGGGTTGGAGCCAAGAGGGCAAGCAGCAGGCAGGAGCAGACGAGGTGGCAGCCATAGGCAAGCAGCGCACAGCAGGGACCTCTGCATGTGAGCAAAGCACAGCCATGGGGGAAGAGGCAGGGCAGAGCCTGGGCTCAGGAGACAGGTGGACCTCAAATGCCCCTGAAGTCAGGTGGAGCTCAGACGCTTCTGGGCACAGGCAGGGACTTAAACTGAGTAGGGATCAGGATGGATTCAGCGGGAATCTCACCAAGAACAAGCAGAGGAGCAGTGTCATGTCCTGGGCAGGGTGTTGAGGAACCTGCTGGCCTCTACCACTTTTTCCTTCCTGTGTCCAGCTATGGAAGGAAGAGTTGCAGAGGGTTGTAAGCCCCCCCGCAACAGAAACCTCAGCAGCTGGCTGTGGGAAATCAGCAGGCACTTCCTCAGATAACTCCAGATACAAACTTGGACACCTCACTCTCGATTACTCCCTGTAGCTCGATCAGCAGATGGCAGATCTCTACCACCTGTTAGGCAGTGCTTGAAGTGGGAAAAAATAAGTGCAGGAACTCTAATTTTCCGACATTTGACATTTGTGCGGTGAAAAAAAAATCAAGTCTTTAGGATCTGTTGGTTCAAAAACTATTTTAATTTAATCATTCTTCCAAGCAATAACCTATAGGCATAGGCTACTTTTTTCTAATTCACAAATGGAATACTGAAAAACCATTAAAACAACATGAACCAGACCAGTGTGATACTTGTAGGCCTAACAATAGACTAGGGCTAAAGCTGATGCGATTGGTTGGGACTCAGTGGATGCATATGATAGGGCACTGTCGTGGCTCGTGGGTAATGTAGTCTTTTATCGGTCTTGTGATATTGTCTATTCTCGGGCCACTGTCGCTGCGTTGGATCAGTTTCAGTAAGTACCGGAACGCAGAAAAAAGTGGCGGAACCCAAAAGATGAAAATACAGAAGTTCCGGAACTGCGTTCCGCTGCGTTCCGGCCCACTTCAAGCACTGCTCTTAGGGGTCCAAGCCAGAGATGAGCATGGAAAGCCTTTCGGTCACTGACTGGAGGACATCCACTGCTTCAGGGATCCTCCACACTACTGGGTTTGCCCTCAGCTTCAGGGTGAGGTCAAGGAAGCCAAAAGAATCCTCCACCTGAAGTGAGAGCATCTCCCAGGGACTCTGCAACTCCCTCAGTCTACAGGGCACTCAGAATATCCAGTCTAGCAGATGAATAGATCCTCACAAGCCAGAGTGGGGGTGCAGGCTGCCCAGATTGTTGGGGAGTCCAGTCATTCTATCACGGCAAGGGCAAGACAGAGGCAAAGACAGGCATCAGGGAGAAATCAAAAGGGGCTTTATTAAGTACAGACACCACAAGGGGTCAAAACAGGGCATCCACATCCACATCTGTGACCAGGTAGGAAGCCCTGAAACCCAGGTGAAGAACACGAAATATAATAATAACAAGAAACATCACAATCACAAAAAACATTATATGGGCAAAGGTATTGCAACACTTGGCCATTACACCCACAGGAACCTTTCTAACATCCCATTCCAAATGCATAGGTGTCAATATGGAGCTGCCCCCTTTATTGCTTTAACTCCTGCCCCTCTTCTGGGGAGGCTGTCAGGGTCAGCGTCCATCCAACCCTGCCCTTCGTGTCTC